GTGCACCCTTATCAAGGTGGAACAGTTATGGTCTTGGGAGGAGTCCAGTTAGGCCGAAAAACCGATCTCGTTTTTCTTGAAAGGTTTCTAACAGGAATCACATATCGTGATTTAATTCTTGAGCCTGTCCTGTTACCTATGACCTATGCTAATGATTTTGGGAGAAACTTCATTTTCATGCATGACAATGCACGGCCTCATACAGCCAGAGTGGAAGTGAGTTTATCAATGCTCATCAATTAAACATCTTACCCTGGCCGGCACAATCTCCTGACCTCAACCCCATCGAGCACGTATGGGACGCGGTCCAAAGAAGAATTTTGAGAATGGGTATGCCTCGTGAAACTCGTAGGGATCTGGTTCGGGCCGTGAATGCAGCGTGGCAGGCTGTACCCCAAGAAGAGATCGACAACCTGATCAGGAGCATGGAGAGACGATGTAGGGCTGTATTGAACAGTAGAGGAGGCCATACCCTTTATTAAGTAAAAATGGTTTTATCTTTTTTTTTTAATTCACAGTTTAGAATAAAAAAAAAGATGTGTGTATTTTTCACTAAGTTCAACAAAAATCAAGGTAAATTTGAAAAATTCGGTAAATTTCGCATTTTTATTTCCAATACGTCCTGTAAACTATTTGTTTATTTTAATTTTATTATATCAGAAATGCAAATAATAAAATTACTGACGATGGCTGGATAAAATTGTAATATCCCTAGACTTTTCCGGTGTGTGTACATACTGCCATTACTCGCTGACGAGTATTCGACATTTTATACCTGTATCTCTTACCGTTTCGTTGAAACACCATGTATACTCTGAAATCATGTCTGTACATTTAAAGCTCTTTAAAGTTAAAAAACAGCAAATCCTTTCTACCCCTTAATATCTGTTCCAATTAAAAAAAAATAAATGAAATTAGCAGCCTTATGTGATCTAATGTTTCCTTTAAAAATAGTAATTAAAATAGGGTCGTGATGTAAAAAAAAATGTCGATAAACTCATACGTGAAATTTGGGACAAAATTTTCCTACATGAAAAAAGTGAAATTCTAAAGAAGTACTAATAGTCTTAGTAAATTTTCGAAAAATTCAATATTTTTTATTCAGCGAAATTATTCCAAGTTAGAGTATATCACCCTGTATATAAAATTAAAAAATTCGGTTGATAAAAAATGGTAATAATTTGACTTTATTACGACATCTGGTAATCATTTTACCAACTACAGTTATAATTTAGAAGGTAGGTAGTTATTGTTAATGTATTGTTAATAATGTAGTTGCGACATCTAACATTGTTTAACTGTACCATCGAAAATAAGTTTATATAATCCTTTATTATATTCCATTTTACTTTGGTTTCCATACCACAGATGGCACTGGAACAGAAATTAATTCAAATTCATCTCTTGGTATTTTTGACGAAAAATAATAGTAATTATACATTTATCTACTCAAATCTTAAAAAGTCTTTTACTTGTTTTCGTTTTCAATATCAATATTCTAAAAAGAATTACAAAAATAAATGACAGGAAAGTATATACCTGTATTGAATATACCGGGTGCGTCTCAAAAGTGGCTCACGGCACCCCTATAAATTTTTTATTTTTTCAAACATAAATTAGGATTTATTTCGGCCACATCTAGTTGTTTTCGGTCACTCCCTGTTTCACAGGAAATGACTACAACTTTTGATTTAAAATGACATCCTCGGTATTTTGTTACTTTGATTCAATAGAAAATAACACCCTGAATAGAATGACATTATATCATATGTCAACTTTTGACATTTTCGCATATGGTTTATTTTAAATTGTAACGCGGTTCAAACGACACCTTGATTCTCGTATGACGGACAATTTGATACCACAAAGTGTGTGGTATCAAATGACTCGTAAAAAATGCTGTTTCCAAATATGCTAACGAGTAATCAGCCACTCTCGTTCATGCTATTTAATTAAAAATTTTATTTTCTATAATTTTTTTCTTGTATTTTCAGATATTTTAATAATTATATCGGCTATTCTGGAAAGAGACGTATTTCACAAATTAGGGATCATTAAAATCGGTCCAGTCGTTCTTGAGTTATAAATGGTGTAACTATTCCGACTTTGTTTTATTTATTTAGATTTATTTCTGTTATGTATATGTATATACCTATATGAAAAAAAGTATATCTAAATTATTGTATTATACGATGTATCGTAATTGCTTTTATTAATTGTATATTAATCCAACAAACTATAGGAAAAAGTCGATAAGGCCTTTGATGGTGATCGAAATAAATATTTGCATGGGCATTTACTCGCCAATTCATCAATTAGATAAGGCTTCTCGTTTATCAGGGTTATTTATCTTCTATTATCCTACGTGTGGAAAAATTAGGAAATTGTAGGTAATGTATTTTTTTCCTTGTTAGACATACATTCAGTAGGCAAAATACATTATACAGTCCAACCTTTTCAATCAGAACAGCTAATTGTACACTATGCATGTTGTGCAAAAATAATCTTATGGTTATTTATGTAATAATAAAATATATTATATTGACAGTTATTTGATACATAATTACACGTACATACATAGTGCACAATTACACATTAAAAAAATGCATATGACCATAAGCATCTATTCCACATTGGTTTTCGACTGATCTTTTGTTGAAATACTATGTAAGACTTAATTACGTAATTACGTAGTTCTGGAAACTCTTTTAGTAACGTAATATGATGCTTTAGAATCATATTCTGCGATGCCCAAGCTATACAGGACATCCACAAGCTGATAATATAAGTTCTCCATGTTAATCATTCGCCAGTCAACTGACAAATATTGAACAGCGGCATTTCTTGAAAAAGTACCCAGGATTTTTCCAAGGAATGAACCCACTTCAAAGATTTAGACATTACTTATTGAACCGATTTTAAAAACCTTTGAAACCACTCTTGGGGATTCACGAACATTCTCCATCTTACAAATAGTTTTTAATATGTTAACATTATCTTTCGATTTCTAATGAAAATACAGGGTGAGTCAACGATAGAGTAAAGTCCATTATCTCATTTGTTTCGAGGTTTACAAAAAAATGTTAAAAATAAAAGTTACAGGGAAGGTTAAGATACACATTTTAAAATTATTGTAGAGTATACAGGGTGCTTCAAAAAAGTGTGGCGGATATAACATATGTTTTTTTAAACGCAATACCCTATTTTTTATTTTATTTTTAGATTCTGCGTAAAATTCCATAACTTTTTTACATATAATGTTATATACCTAAAATTAATAGTTTTTGTAATATTTAAATTTGTTTAAACAAATGTTAAATTGCAGTGTGGTAAAAAATTGTCAGTGGTACCATTGTTTCTGAAGTTGAAATACCAAAATTTCGTATGAGAGTTTTATAAAGACGAAAAAAAAGATAGATCTAAAGATATTTTAGTTAAATGCTACAGGGTGTTCAAAATATATTTATGAATTTCAACTACTTAAAATTAAAAAATCTCAAATTTTTTAAATGGTACACCCTATAAATTTTCATTTTTCCTGATAGATTTTGCACAGCTCTTCAACTTTCATTAAGTATGTCATATACCTATTTTTAATAGTTTGCGATTTATTCCAATTTTTTCTATTTTTAAACTAATTTTTGATACAATAATTACGCTATAACATCATAGTTGCCGTGACAAAACGAAAGTATTTTACTTATCTTTAACAAGTAGTTTAATAATTAGTTAAAATTGTTATTATTAGTTAAGGTTAATTAAATTTACTCAAATCAACTAAAATCTTAGTCGTGAAGTTCTTGGTGTATTTCTGTATTATGAAAGATAACACTTGAATTTTCCGTCGGGGCTAATAGCCACAGATTAGGGTAATACTAACTGGATTATCTAATTGTTGACTACTGATATAGGATTTTTTTTCGACATACAGTAAAGTTTTTTTCTCGTAGTAATTCTGGTTTATAATTCATTTCGTAAAGCCAATATTACTAGACCCGCGAAACCGTCTCATTACACACTGAAAATAATATAATATAATATAATATTGAAAATGTTTTCTAGATAATCTACATCGAATTCTTATAGTGCTTAACAAAGTACTATATAATACATAGTACTGAGCCAAAAAATATGTTTATCTTGTCTTGTTCGTGCATATCAGCCACCACTGACTAATTCATTTTCAGGAAAACCCCTGTAACTATTATCTCTACCTCTACCATTTATACTTATTACAACAAATTAAACTAAAATTCATGTTTTGTTCTTTACTTGCTTAACAGACATATAAAATTTTGATAATAATTATTTTTTGTCATGGCAACTATGATGTTATAGCGTACCTAATTGTATTAAAGATATGGTAAAAATAGAAAAAAATAGAATAAATCGCAAACTATTAAAAATAGGTATATGACATATTTAATAAAAGTTGAAGAGCTTTGCAAAATCTATCAGAAAAAATGAAAATACATAGGGTGTACCATTTAAAAAATTTTAGACTTTTTAATTTTAAATAGTTGAAATTCATAAGTATATTTTGAACACCCTGTAGCATTTAACTAAAATATCTTTACATATATCTTTTTTTTCATCTTTATAAAACTCTCTGTACAGCTAAAATATCGGGTGAAGAGAGATATTGAACGAACCGGTAAAACTGGGCAAAATATCCGAAGTGTATGGGGGGCTTTAAATGTGCAACAAATTTCGTCTAAAAATAGTCATACTTCAAAAACCACTCAGTATAACGTATAGCATTATTGTATGTTTTGAATAAATTATAATATAAATAAAATCTAAGAATGACAGAAAATATTATAGATATACACGCACATAGGGAGTAAACAAACCTATTGAAACGAGAATCAATAAGACAGAATATAGTGGCAATTGACCAATCGCATAAAGAAATTTACTGGTTCACATGGTAACTACTCTTCAGAAATATACAAACGTTGAATATATGGTGCATCTAATAGCATATTTGTGGTAAACAAATGTGTATATGAGTTAAAAATTGAAATGATATCGTCTAAAGAAAAGCTACTATCTCTACCCTGGCAGCAAAGAAAATATGAAAACCATAAAAGAAAGGTCAGTAAAATAGATTATCATGAGATTATCTTAAATTAATTCAATTGATAAGGTCTTAACCTTAATTTTCATGCATTCTTTTTACCGACGATACGATGATACGATATTAAATTTATTGGTTGAATTTGAAGACTTCGATTGATTAGAAAAATACGCAGTTTTTAAATTCATTGCATTTTCATGCCTCCGTTCCTCGGATATACGATTTGCTTGTGATCGGTGTCATTTTATATTTTCATTTTCATAACGATTTCGCTATTTTACTTATAGTTTAACAGCCAGCAACGTTTTCGAGAGAGAATTTTAAGAAAGTTTCTTTAATATATCTTGTTATGCTCTCCTGAACAGAGTGCGGCCCGTCTGCCGGTAGACGTTGCGTTCACTACTGCGCATCGTATCTGTATTCAAGATCTGTCCACTACTGCGCATCACAAATTCGCCCTGTATTTCAGGAACTAAGGAGGCTAATGGTTGCCGTCTCGACCCTATAACACAGCATACATAAATAATATACATATAAATCCACAACTATGAAACTATGAATCCTTCGCGGACACAAACGGCACATTGTGAAACAGGAAATTGTATAGAGAAACAAGCCCTATAACATAGGATACAACATTTTAATGAACAGTTCTTTCCATAAAATCAATAAAATGAAAAATATACGAAATAATATACATGTACTGATTGTTTTCGAAAATCGACAACTATGAAACTATGAACCCTTCCCGGACACAAACGGTACGTTGTGAGATAGGAAATTGTAGAGAGAAACAAGCCCTATAACATAGGATACAACATTTTAATGAAAAGTGCTTTCCATAAAATCAATAAAATGAAAAATATACGAAATAATATACATTTACTGATTTCTTTCGAAAATCGACCACTATGAAACTATGAACCCTTCCGGGACACAAACGTTACATTGTGAGACAGGAAATTGTAGAGACAAACAATCCCTATAACATAGGATACATTTTATAAACAGTGCTTTCCATAAAATCAATAAAATGAAAAATATACGAAATAATATACATGTACTGATTTCTTTCGAAATTCGACAACTATGAAACTATGAACCCTTCCCCGACACGAACGGTACATTATGAGACAGGAAATTGTAGAGAGAAACAAGCCCTATAATATAGGATACAACATTTTAATGAACAGTGCTTTCCATAAAATCAATAAAATTAAAAATATACGAAATAATATACATGTACTGATTTCTTTCGAAAATCGACAACTATGAAACTATGAACCCTTCCCGGACACAAACGGTACATTGTGAGGCAGGAAATTGTAGAAAGAAACAAACCCTATAACATAGGATACAACATTTTAATGAACAGTGTTTTCCATAAAATCAATAAAATGAAAAATATACGAAATAATATACATGTACCGATTTCTTTCGAAAATCGACAACTATGAAATTATGAACCCTTCCCGGACACAAAGGGTACATTGTGAGACAGGAAATTGTAGAGAGAAACAAGCCCTATAACATAGGATACAACATTTTAATGAAAAGTGCTTTCCATAAAATCAATAAAATGAAAAATATACGAAATAATATACATTTACTGATTTCTTTCGAATATCGACAACTATGAAACTATGAACCCTTCTCGGACACAAATGGTACATTGTGAGGCAGGAAATTGTAGAGAGAAACAAGCCCTATAACATAGGATACAACATTTTAATGAACAGTGTTTTCCATAAAATCAATAAAATGAAAAATATACGAAATAATATACATGTACCGATTTCTTTCGAAAATCGACAACTATGAAATTATGAACCCTTCCCGGACACAAAGGGTACATTGTGAGGCAGGAAATTGTAGAGAGAAACAAGCTCTATACCATAGGATACAACATTTTAATGAACAGTGCTTTCCATAAAATCAATAAAATGAAAAATATACGAAATAATATACATGTACTGATTTCTTTCTAAAATCCACAACTATGAAACTATGAATCCGTCCCGGACACAAACGGCACATTGTGAAACAGGAAATTGTATAGAGAAACAAGCCCTATAACATAGGATACAACATTTTAATGAACAGTGCTTTCCATAAATTCAATAAAATGAAAAATATACGAAATAATATACATGTGCTGATTTCTTTCGAAAATCCACAACTATGAAACTATGAACCCTTCCCGGACACAAAAGGTACATTGTAAGACAGGAAATTGTAGAGAGAAAAAAGCCCTATAACATAGGATACAACATTTTAATGAAAAGTGCTTTCCATAAAATCAATAAAATGAAAAATATACGAAATAATATACATTTACTGATTTCTTTCGAATATCGACAACTATGAAACTATGAACCCTTCTCGGACACAAATGGTACATTGTGAGACATGAAATTGTAGAGAGAAACAAGCCCTATAACATAGGATACAACATTTTAATGAAAAGTGCTTTCCATAAAATCAATAAAATGAAAAATATACCAAATAATATACATTTACTGATTTCTTTCGAAGATCGATAACTATGAAACTATGAACCCTTCCCGGACACAAACGGTACATTGTGAGACAGGAAATTGTAGAGAGAAATAAGCCCTATAACATAGGATACAACATTTTAATGAAAAGTGCTTTCCATAAAATCAATAAAATGAAAAATATACGAAATAATATACATTTACTGATTTCTTTCGAAGATCCACAACTATGAAACTATGAACCCTTCTCGGACACAAATGGTACATTGTGAGACAGGAAATTGTAGAGAGAAACAAGGCCTATGACATAGGATACAACATTTTAATGAAAAGTGCTTTCCATAAAATCAATAAAATGAAAAATATACGAAATAATATACATTTACTGATTTCTTTCGAAAATCCACAACTATGAAACTATGAATCCTTCCCGGACACGAACGGTACATTGTGAGACAGGAAATTGTAGAGAGAAACAAGCCCTATAACATAGGATCATAGGATACAACATTTTAATGAACAGTGCTTTCCATAAAATCAATAAAATGAAAAATGTGTGAAATAATATACATGTACTGATTTCTTTCGAAAATCGACAACTATGAAAGTATGAACCCTTCCCCGACACGAACGATACATTGTGAGACAGGAAATTGTAGAGAGAAACAAGCCCTATAATATAGGATACAACATTTTAATGAACAGTGCTTTCCATAAAATCAATAAAATTAAAAATATACGAAATAATATACATGTACTGATTTCTTTCGAAAATCGACAACTATGAAAGTATGAACCCTTCCCCGACACGAACGATACATTGTGAGACAGGAAATTGTAGAGAGAAACAAGCCCTATAACGTAAGATACAACATTTTAATGAACAGTGCTTTCCATAAAATTAATAAAATTAAAAATATACGAAATGATATACATGTACTGATTTCTTTCGAAAATCGACAACTATGAAACTATGAACCGTTTCCCGGACACAAACAGTACATTATGAAACAGGAAATTGTAGAGAGAAACAAGCCCTATATTCTCGACGCGCTCAGTGATCAGGTGTTCTGGTGTTTCGCCATTTTCCCCACAGAATCTGCATTCGCTGTTATTTTCTATCTGCTGAGGTGTTCAATGAAGAGACCGTGTCCTTTTAAAAACTCCGTGACAATCCGAAGATCGTTCTTACTTAAATCAAGGAAATTCTTTGATTTTTCTCGGTCGTAAGTCCTGAGAAAATTCTTCGAGTGTCTTTGACTGTTGGAAGATCCAAACAAATAAAAACAACTTTAATTATTTCGGGATTACTAAAACAACGAAGTATCTTTTTCTTTATTTCAGATACAAACAGCAGTGCCAGTGGTTGACAACAAATCGCCACCTCACCGCAGACATGTCGCTGTCAAACTGAAGAAACTACAAAAAGAGGATGAAAGGTCCAGAAGAATAGAAAAAGACAACTTGATACTACTTCGGAGACTGAACCATATAATGACCAATCATTGGTTAGACAATTATTTACCGCCACAGCCAAATTTTTTGAACAGGGTCAAAATATTCGAGACTGAAGATGATTCCGGTATAGATATAGTTGAATTGGCTCGAAGTATAGATTTAGATATGGAGGTAAATCATCATCATTATTATTTTCAGCTTATTCAACCATTCCCAATTATAGTGTAGCTGTCACATATTGTAATTGTCATTTTTTGAAATATAATTCAGAAGTCATTTCTGTCAGTTCCACAAAATATCCCGTCAATTCTTATTACACAATATAAAAATGTTTAAGATAAGAAGGATTTATGTATGTACTTTATTTCGTTGTATAATCTTTTGAATACAACTCGATGTGTCGGGATTACCTAATACTTTTGCCTGACACTCAATGCGATACCGGCTAACGCATTTCGTGTCAGGTAAAAGTATTATTCGGTAATCCCGAAACATTTTGTGGTATTACATTCGATAATTTTATCGTATTTCGTATTTCCAAATATGCTGATGAATTACTGTCGTTTCATTTGAAAAAAGTCACTCATGGAGTTAGACTAACTAATAGAGAACAAACTTAATCTATTTTATGTTTGCAGGAGATTGAAGATAAGAGTAGTAAAGAAATTTCTTATAGAAAATTAAAATGTATTGCCTGTTCACCGATCAAAATCCTAGAACCAATTAATGTGCCAGAAGAAAGAGTACCGTGGGAACCACAAAAGAAAAAAATCGGAAGAAGCCGGTAAATAAACTTTATTTTATAATTACAGTATACTGTAATTATAAAATTAATACAGTATACTGCCATTCTGTATACCCAGAATTATTAAAATTTTATAAATATACAGGGTGGTCCGAACTGTATTCCGGATTCTGCAGATAAAAATAAGTAAAAAAGTTCGTATAAACGTATGTCAAAAATGCTTAGTTTCGGAGATACAGGGTATAGAAGTTTCATTTTTATTTCGATTTTTTCCAAATAATTTCTGAAGTAACGTCAATATTTGGATAAAAATTGGTGTCTGGGAGTTTTTTGACACGAGAAATTAGATTTTGATGCCGATACGACTCCTATTTGTAGAGGGCACCACTTACATGTGTTTTGTGTGGTTTAGAATGGAAATAGTCAATGCCATGTCTTTATTGACAAAAAAATAAACATAAATAATATGTTGAGTAGATAGTTATTTGACTGAAATTATAAATTTGGGAACTTTTTGTTTTTTTAAATTAATCATAAATTTTTCTTCGAAAAAATGACGATAAAACCGTTTCTGTTGAACTTTTGGCAGAAAAACATTTCTTTATGATCAAAGCAAACCTTTGAAGGAGTGTAAAAGGACAATAATTCACAATCTTTAAGTTGTTTAATTTAAATTTTAATGCTTAAAAAAGCAAGGGGGGCGACATGTTTCGGGAATTTAAAATACTCCCATCTTCAGGCCCAAAGCTAAAAACAATTACAGAGGTCAAATTTATAAAATACAATTACAAACAAGTTAAAAAGTCAAAAATTTTTTTTTACAAAATCAAAACATTATATCTATCACAAAAATTGTTCAATCACAGATAACAATATGGTATGTTAAATTTGAAAAATTAAAAGCAACTAGACTAAAATCATAAGGTGAGGGGAGCCGTATAATCACCATAATTAGATAAATTGAAAGAAAAAACAAGGTAATAATCAAATCATACCTCAATGCACAATTCAAAGAAAAATACTTAAGCAATAGGTAAATTTATTTTTAGTGATATGTTTTTTTTATATATTTTTTTGTATTAGTAATGTAAGTTGAGAGTAAATTACTTCAATCTGTATAATATGCTGATATTCAATTTTGTAGGATAAATTTTTTAGTTATGTTAGTTAAGAACCAGTTAAGAATTATGTTTATTTTTTTTATTTTTTAATTAGTATATGTTGAATTTTAATTTATATTTCAAATTTAATATTGTAGAAAATTAATATTTACTTTAGTTTAATTTTTAGAAATTTAATATTTATTTTAATTTATATATGTAGAAAATTATTTTTTATTTTAATTTAATTAAACAGAATACAAGTAAAATAAAAGCATACTCACACAAAAGTCACTTTACAGAGTATGCTTTTATTTTAACAAGTTTAATTAAATTAAAATAAAAAATAATTTTCTACATATATAAATTAAAATAAATATTAAATTTCTAAAAATTAAACTAAAGTAAATATTAATTTTCTACAATATTAAATTTGAAATATAAATTAAAATTCAACATATACTAATTAAAAAATAAATAAAAAAAATAAACATAATTCTTAACTTGTTCTTAACTAACATAACTAAAAAATTTATCCTACAAAATTGAATATCAGCATATACAGATTGAAGTAATTTACTCTCAACTTACATTACTAATACAAAAAATATATAAAAAAATAAAAAAAAAATATCACTAAAAATAAATTTAACTATTGCTTAAGTATTTTTCTTTGAATGGGCTCTTTCACTATATTTTGGAATTAGCATAATTGAATAAAGCAATTAATTCTAGAATTTTCTGCTATCTCACTTTCGAAAAATTTGAAGTCGTTCTTAAGAAAATAAATAAAAACAAAAAAGCCCAGAATAAAAATCCGCACTTTATTTTTAATACGTCACACCTGGCATGTTGAAAAGCGGCAACACGGCCGCGGCCACCATGCTGACCCACCACCACCTCCTCACAAAGCCATTCAACCTTTTCCAATATGGCGGATATAGAAGTGCTTTATTTGGCGCGCATTTTAAAACCTGTTTTATTTCCAAATAGACATTTTTCACACAAATGTCGGGTTAGATTATGGATGGTTAACGTAATATTTTACTAATTTTTTAATATACAGGGAGTCTAAAGTTCTCCACATAAGTATGGCATTTTTTGTATTATTACTTTTATGAAAACATCAGTTTTATAAAAAGGTCTGCTTTCTCAGAAAATAGGTAGTACCTATTCAAATATTCAAACTTGAAGTAGCATATATAGGGTGTTCAAAATCATCGGAAAAAGAAATAACCAGAAATATATGACAGAAAAAGCAATATAAACTAAATATTCAATTGCAAACACTGACCTTTACAGGACCTTTACTATTATGGACAGTATAGGAAGTTACATGTCTTAGTAAAAGTCTTGGTAAATGCTCTTCGAATTATAAACTACACTGGCTTGGGTCAAAAAATATGGAATATTTTTCTATGTTTTGCAGCATTACACAAATGGGAATAAATTTAAACTATAATAGGTGAGGATAAATAAAAAATATAATATGTGTTTCAAGATTTTATATAGAAAAAAAAACTAAATACCTCTTTGGGGGTTCGTAAGTAAAACTTACACTTAGCTTAGTTTTCTTTACTCTTTCTCTTTACATAGGGCATTGTCTTTGTGGTAAAGACGTCATTCCTTTTTTTTGCATAGTTCTTCAATAAAATATTGGATATTCTGAACAAGATGGATTTAATAATAAATTCTGACGTATGTGAGGGGCAATTGTGACCTAAAAAAAGACTTACATCTAGGCCATTTATATTTTCAGATGTCAATGTTGTCAATATCTTTCTGTGATCTTTTTGATGTAAAAAGCTTGATTCTTCTTCCAATATTTTACTTACAGTGAGGTAAGTGTAAGCAGTAGCCATAACCCTCACTAGGGTAACAGAGGCTTTGGCTTTTGGCCTTTTTGAGGCATATTTAATGCACTTCTTACCCGAGAACTACTAGTAGGACTGAAATTATCTCTTTTAATAGCAGTCAACCATTTTTTACGAAGCTCGTCATTTTTGGGGAATATAAAAGCAAAAACCTTGGGACCCCCTCTATAATTCCCGTGACAATTTGGAACAGAGCATGTAAAAGGCATGCTACAATAAAATGTTAACCCTTTAATACCTATCTTTTGATTATTGTAAGTAACCATTATAAAGTACTATGCAGACTGGCGGCGAAGGCCTTTTTACTCATTTAGGTGTAATATCTTGATAAATACTTCTAGTTCTTACCTTAAAATAATTTATAATAAAGGAGTACGACAAGCACAAAAGTTTGAAGTTCTCTATGTGGAATGTCTATTTGGATTTTTATTACTCTGTGTGTTATTTTATCACAATTTTCTGATCACACCATGCACTGAACACTAAGAACTAAACAAACGTGTTGCAGAAGCACAACAAACTAGAGATAATTAATTATTTCTGGTATGTGATCGGAACGAGAAACCACTACCGGCTTTTCAGGTTAAAGGTAAACAATTTAATAATGCGCTGCCTTCGCCGCCATATTTGCCTTGCCCATATCTATCTTTTTAGCTTTGGACCTGAAGATGGGAATATTTTAAATTCCCGAAACATGTCGCCCCCCTTGCTTTTTTAAGCATTAAAATTTAAATTAAACAACTTAAAGATTGTGAGTTATTGTCCTGTTACACCCTTCTGCAAAGGTTTGCTTTGATAATATGTACTCACACCGGGTTAGAGAACGTTTAGTTTTTAATTTCTTTATGATTTCAGCCTAGTAACTATTTAGTCAACATGCTTAATTTATGTCAATGATGCCAGGTATTGACAATTTCGATTCAAAATATCTCGGGAACCATTGCTCTTTGCGATTTTCACCAAGTGTATATTTTTTTACTCAGTAGTTTTATACAGATACGGACGAAAAGTTACTCCTCTTCCACCAGTTAAAAAAATAGTATGTAGGTGGCGCCCGCTATACCGTATGATCGAAAAAAAAATAGCGTCCAGTTGGCTTGAAAATGAACGTAGATGACATTCCCCATATAATTTTACATGTACCTAAAATAAAACCGATTTTCACTTCATAGCCATCGCCGATGCCGTTTTTTTTTCGATCACACGGTATTACAATTAAATCGGTTATTTATTGATATGTAGAAAAACGATAAACGATGTAATGAACAGAAGGTATAAATTTGCGTATATTCACTTTCGGACAGGGATACGGATAATTTATGATTTAACTTATCATTTATTACCACTATTATCTATACATATAGTGAATACCGATAATGTTGGTTTACTAATTAATTACAGATCATGTAGCAATACTGTGGGTATGCCTTTTTTTAAATCACCTCGGGCACATATGACACTAATGGCTTGTTTGTTAGTTTGTTATGTATTGTTTACTTTCGATTAGTTATTGGAGATTTACAGGTGCATCTTTTTGTCTGTAATTATATAATGTTACTAGCGTGTACCAGCGACTTCGTTCGCGTCGAATTAATCATTTGTAATGGTGATGATAAAGCAAAGCAAAAATTTCCATTAACATACAAACTGGATAAAATGTTCTCACATTTATGTCAGCATGAGAAAAAACAATATGGCGATATTATTATATAACTTGGTAATATTTGAGGGGTAGTTTCATCTCGTTGGAATTTGACTTTCGAAAAATCCGTTTGCCAAAAATAAGCTTTTTACGTCAAGCAGTTTAAGCAGAATCGTGGTTAAGAAATTACCCAACTTTTTGGAACACTCTGTATGATTTTTAAAAAAATTTCAAAATATGTAAAAAATAAACAAATAAATTATGCTTGTCCAAGCGTTTTCCCGAAAGACTAACCGTTTTTTAAATAACAAATATTGTAATATTTGAGGGGCGTTTTCACCCTCTTGGAATTTGAGATTCGAGAAACCCCTCCTTATCGAACCTCTACACCCCACAGTCAATCCGTTTGCCAAAAATCAGCTT